GTGGTCGTATATCCTGCGGACGACCGGGTGTCGACTATGTGGTTGCCCCAAATTTCGTAGTAATTCCCCCCCCCGTTGGCCGTGTGCTTGCAGGCGTAAGATTGAGCGTCTATAGTGGTAGTCTTGGGAGATATGCTGCTGTTATCGGATAGGGCAAAGCCAAAGTCGAAATCTGTGTAGACTTTCACAATAGTGATCCCATGTACGTTTTCCGTCGCGTGACCAACAACGATACCCCTGAAACCAGGCTAGCCTGCAAGCATGGTGGTGATGCCGCTCAGGTTAGGGACAATAGCCAAATTGAGGTTGACATCGGCAAACAAAGCAGCTGTATGCCAGCGTGCTGCATGTATCACAGATGCCGCATTCGACTGCGATGGAAAAGGATGACGAGCTTACCGGTCGTGCCGAGGTATACGCCGAGAGAAAAGAATTTCACCAATGGTACCACCTCGAACGGCAGTCAGGGACACAGTGCACCTTCTACCTCCATTCCCAGGCCAATTTTCGGACTACATCACCATCGACCAGAGCTGGAAGAGCTGCCAGAGCCACCAGTGAGTGTAACGATGAAAGACTTATACATCATAAATTGGCGGTGTTTTACCATTTCGCAGATTCTATCCTTTTACCCAAATGGTGCTCAGTGCGGTAGTTGATCTAATACGAAAAGCTCAGAAGTTAGCTTTGTTGGAGAGCATTCCTTTCACTGGAATCAGTTAGTCTTAATCTATACAACAGATGATAAAAGCGGATACCATGAAGAGGCACAGCACGAATAGATGTATATGTGAGCCACGAGATTAATAAAGTGCCTTCTCTAAAGTAAGTATAAACAAGCTAAAGTAAAGCTGTGTTGCAAATACGGAGCAACACCCTCAACTGTAGCCCTTCAAGGCACCGAGCGTAAGACAAGGCAAATAATGGGAGTAAAACCCAATATAATACCCTTGGCAATACTATTAAGAAGTGAGCTAACAAATTACTAGGAACTCTATATAAATTTATCAAAATACTGAAGTAAATACCTTTATAGTAATCTGTGTGGGCATGAAAATGCTGCCGATTTAAGCGGTTTCATTATTAGGCAATTCTTATTATTTTATGCCTCAGGCACCGCATCAATATGCTGCGCTTCCCACTCTATGTCCTATCTACTCTATATCCTATTCCCAGCCATTTTACCCCAGCGGTCGCTTCCCGTAGCCTAGTATAGCCTGCTCTCGTACCCGGTACCGTAGCCAGACGGTGATAACAACGCAGGCTAATATTGACTATTCTTAGACGCTGTCAAAGCCATTAAACTAGGAAGGAGGAAAAGTCACGTCTTAAAGGCTAGCTCTTCGCCCGGGCTACCACTTGGCGTGTAACAAGGAGAATCCTCTTCCTCGCTAGACTAAGTAGTGCGGGACTTCTTCAAGCATTGCTTATACCTGGCGTATGCAAGGGGCTGTACTCCTCATAACACAGCATCTGCTTATTATCCTAGTTGACACTTCGGCAGGCAGTCTCCTCGTTATTTGAGAGGTTATGTTCCTTCATTGAACGATTGCTCTCCAAATAAAGGGTACGGGGGCTTTAGGATACAAAGCGTTGCCCGCCTTGAGTGGTTAAGAAAAAGACGCTCAGTACCGCATTTGCTTTGCAAAATGGCGAAGAGACATGACGGCTCACAAAACTTCACGTCTTCAAGTTTAGAAGCTGTAGCAAGGATCAACTGCGAGCAGCTCTGCACTAAAAATATGGCTAATTCGTCGACCTAGGTCTGGTGTCACAGGAGATGGAAACCAATCTAGACCAAGAGCAAGACACGAGCTCTGGTCAGTTTTACTACCATAGTGGTGACATAGTGCCTGATGACGCGCAAGCTGGTATAAAAGATGCAACAGGGGGGAAACAATACAGCTCTAAATAGCACGTGTTTCGTATCTCTCTACCAGCTCAAGGACACTCTCGGGACGCAATTCGGCAGCGCAAGTGCACATCTTGTCATCAGAACCAGCAGCCTGATAACCTCGCGACCAGTCACAACACGTCCTCCTCGACAGCCTCGGCCCTCAATGTCACAGTAATTAATCCTCGGCCAGGGCCTTCTAACTTCCCCTCATTCTTCCGTCGTGCAGCATTTTGATTGTAGTTCTGCCAAACAAAAACCTCCCAATTCACCCATAACGCAGACAAGAACGGTGAGCGGCAGGCAGGAAAAGATATCGTAGACACAGAATTATGTTATTAACCTGCTAACCACTACCATGAAGAATTAAATCCGGCAATGTCGACAATGACAATAGATACTACTATCTCACAGTCGGCAACCAAAACTATCACCAGCACAGTCGTTAACCCTGCTACCACTTGCAATCCTCCTGTCAATGTCGAATCGTCTGCTACCGTCTACACTCAAAGCTCCAATCTAACTTGCGGATGCCCCCCAGGATTCCTGTGCGACATACCTAAGCCTGATGACTGCAACACATGGGTCGGGTCCCCGGACAAGTCCTACGCGTGCGCCTCGCAATACTGTGTAACGGTCTCCGACGACTTTTCGACCATCAAATGGCCAAACAACAGTACAAGCGAGTATCCGGCTATGGTGGGGTACTTCCATCTCGCTCAGGAAGCCTTTGGTTTAAGCCACGATATATTTGGCTATGAAGTCCTGGTACTCGATTTCAGAAGCACCACCTAGACGGCAAGAACAGGAAATTGGGTGATCAGGTTTCCATCACCGCGTGGCCGCTCACTTCCGAATCTTCGTCTACCTCCTCGCAAGCGATCCACGTACCAAGGGGCTCTGTGAACTTGACAACACTCCCGGCAGTCTGCTACGCTGCCTGTACCAACGCCTTCGTCAGTCTACAGTTTACTGTCAAGACGCCGGGGCTGTGTGCGAGCGGGTCTTCTTTTGCGACTTACAACAAAAGCTGCCACACTTGCCTAGGAAAATTCCCTTTGAGTGCCAATTTAAATGCACCAACTACTTGAAGGAGGAATTATCTCAGTTCGTTGAGTTTTGTGCTGCCAACTTGGCTCTGGCCGAATCTTCTTCAGCTTCCAGCAATACCTCGACTTCCACATCTTCTTCAACTTCCAGCCCTCCTTCCAGCTCGGCTACTACCAATGATCCAACCGCATCTCCCCCGTCTCTTACCAAAGGAGCGGTGGCTGACGTTTCTGTGGGCAGTGCCTGTGTACTCATCTTGGTACTACTGGGCGTGTGGATTCTTCTTCGGCACCGTAAGAGAGCGGTACTGCGCCAAAACCAGGACACCACGAACCAGGGGAGTTTTGACGGGAAGTCAGAATTACCTGGCTCTCTGCACATCCCAGGACAGGTCTATAAGACAGAACTGGACTCACGGCCCCTCCTGCTGAGCTGGAAGCACCCCACAGGTTTTCCGAGCTGCACCACCAACAACCCTTTGACTATGACAATACACATTCTCCAGGCGCCGAAACCTACTACAGATCCATCCCTACTTCTGCCACCTCAGTGAGCTCACCTTGGAGGCTCTGAGGGCAGAAGCCTGCGCTCCCGTGGATACCGTATTGGCTGTCTCAAGGGCGAAGTGCCTACCGTACCCGAGGATGATAGTGGTGCTGATTAGGATGGGGAGGATTCATGGGGTCGTTAGGGTGCTGGGACAGGGTCTGCAAGGCAGGGAAGTAATAGGAAGTTATGGTGGATGTTGGTGGAAAGGAGGCTGAAATCAGGGGAAAGAAAAAGAGATAGTTAACGCGTATTATATTAGATACTGCGAGAACCTTTTGCTTAGGGGGCTTCATTGGAGACTAGAGCCGCTTGTACCCTGCCGCCATGCCATCAACTGTAGCAGTGAGGGAAGCCTCGTCTCATCCTCCAAAGCTTCCAGGGCAATTTTCCATTGTATCTTAATGGTTTAGCAAATGTGGACAGGTTTATGGAAAGATCACGTACCTTGTTTAAGTTTCAGAGCTGCAAAATAGGCACCTGTTTTGCTCCCTAACCGATCTTCGCTAGGGACAGTAGGTGCATTGGCGATGGTTGTACATGTAATGGCCCGGAGCCCGGTCGACCTCAGAGCGCTTTCGGCCTGCGCATTAAGCCAGAGCCAGCCCTACGCACGAGCAGCACACTACAAAAGCCCTAGCGCGCCCATCGGCGAGACACCAGAATCTAGGGACAAGGAAACCCCAGGAAGGCCACGTAGAAGGGAGCTCGCAGCTAGACAAGTAAGCCTCATAAGTTCTATAAAAGAAGGGGAGATGCACTCCTATAAAGGAACCCCTTTTAAGGTATTAAGATCTCTTATATCTATCTTGCCCTCTAGTGTTACAGTTAGTCCTTCATACGATCAACTGAATACGCGTTTTGTTGTGACATATTCTCTCTGCGTTTTCAGGTTCTTGACCAGAAAAAGTCATCCTAGGCATCTAATGCCTGCAATGTGGGCTGCGGCCATCCCACCACTAGCCCGCATTGCAGAGCCACACGGTCTTTGAGGGTTTTCTATTTTCTAGTACTCTAAACGGATTACACCGCTTTAAATGGGGGGTTTTTCCCCTACTATATCTGCCTTAGCTAGAGTTGCAAAATAGAATATATAACAACTAACTTCTTCAGCGAAGGGTGGTCATTAATAGATCGCTACCTTTTGCTAAAACAGTCTAACACTTTATTACCCAAACAAACAACACGTGCTGCTACAAAGGAAGGGGAGAGGAAAAAAAGAAAAGATGAAGAAGAAAAGGTCGCGCCCGGGATCGAACCGGGGCTACTGGAATTTTTGATTGTGTCAATCAGCTACAACTGTTAGTATTGCCCCAAACCAGATCTATGGCTTCCACTTACAATCCAGGGTCATAACCTGCCAGGTGTTAGCAAATATAAAATACGGTTAACTGGCTGGCGAGCTTACCACTAGACTACGCAACCCTAGCAGTTGAGATCTGGTGGAGCTAAACTCCAAAGAAAAGAAAACGGATAAAAAAAAGAACTGAAAAAAACTGAAAAAAAGAGAAGGTCGCGCCCGGGATCGAACCGGGGCTACTGGAATTGTGATATTGACAATCAGCTGTGACGATTAGTATTTCTCCACATGTAGGTGGTTCAGTATTACTTACAATCCAGGGTCATAACCACTAGACTACGCAACCAAGTGACTGTTGAAGTTCGATGGGTTTCATTATGATATATATACCAGTTCAACGTTTCTTGATTGGTTGCTTAAGCTAGCCACGATTGGCTTCGAACACCATGAGTGTCGGCAGCGCCGCGGGGTCACGTGCTTAACGCACGGGCCACACGTGCGGTATCAAACCTCTCCAAGTCAGCCACACTTGAAAAATATTTTCGATGCGTGCGGGGTTCGAACCCACCCGCGCAGCCAGCTTTTTTGCACGCGACCGTAGGAGCAACTGCATGTGTAGTTGCGAACTACAGTTTTATGAACCGACGTTGCAGGACACCAGACGACCAACTCCGCCAAAGCACCCTATATCTATTATATCACTCCTCCTTAGCAAGACAGCCAGAACCCTATGCTTGAATACGCACTGAATCCATCACTTCCTACAGTATAATCGACTTAACTTATTAACTATGTTAGAAATAACTACTGGATATAGTATCTATTATATGGTATAATTGTGGCCATTTACTGTGCTAGTTCCGGCTCTTAATAGATGCGTGGAGGCATCGAGACAATGTATAATAATACCTTTTATAAAAAACCGAACGATCCACACAGAAAATACCATATCTAACATCTCCAAGCATAACGGCAATCTATTAATAACTACAATTGACTTGCGTTGCCAAATGTGGCCACTCATGCCCCTGCAGGGCCTCATATCAGATCCTCACGTGCAGAGTTTATCAAAGGTTGTAAGCTTCAGCTTGCTTCCCACAATAGCTTCAGTAAAGTTTAGCTACACTGCAGCGAGCCAGCGAAAGTTTAGCTATACTAAGGTACAGAAGGAAGTATTGAGGAAAAGTTATTGTGATCAAGATTAAAATATGACCCAAACTCTTACGAAATAAGTCGATTTGGATGCAGCACGTACTTCAGTTGAGTCTGTTAGTGTCGAGAACATTCAAGTTCCATTCACGCTCTAGCCCACATCGGTAGGTACTCAGAACGTGTAGAGAAACGCGAATAGAAATGAGTGTTTCGAGCTAAAACGCGCCGGACAGGCTGCGCGAAGTCCTACTGGGTGGGATGCAGCTATCTCACTGCGCTTACGCACACACACTCTGGTGTTGCCCATTTATTCGTTAAAGTCGCGGCCGCAGGACATGCTAATAACCCGCTCGTATACCGCAGTGCGTTGAATGCGCCGCTCGAAGCAGAGGACCACCGCCACTTAGGCCACCCTCCGCGCTGTCGCCGACAGCAGCAGCAGCAGCCCTACTATTACGTCATGTAAAAGAGCCCCCTGCCCGACCCTATCACTCCCGACTTCAGGGCGAGCAAAAGACAGTTAAATAGGGGTTACGCCCCGTACCTACTCCACAGCCCCGGGGCTTATACAGACGTGCCGCGCAACCGATTCCCATCGAATTCTCGGGCAAGCGGGAAATTGAATCATCCTTTCTAGAAACCGTAATCTCGGTCCATGATCGAGATACTTAGACCGCCGAGCTAGGTGTTCTTGATACCATGCGCAGTAAGCGTCTAATGCGATCATTCTTCACGCTGGATCCACGCACTTACGACGCAGCAGCAGCAGCACCGAGTCAAGCAGACTTGTGTCCATTGACAACTTTGTTGAGATGATTTTAGCCCCTTGACAGCCCAGCATTATTTAAATCAAGGACAACTGGCAGGCCCGGCTGGCTGCCGTTTCAATCTGCCTTGTAGAGGTTACACTGCTGTTCTAAAGCTAGGAAGGATATGATGGGGGTTTTTGGTCAAGATATCCGCCGAGGGTCGAACGCTGGAGTCTATTATCAACAGCAAGTCTGTCTGGTGTAATTATGCTTCTCTAGCCATTCCCGTCCATAAATGGGGATTGAGATTCTAGGTTCAGACGGTTGTTATAAAAACCACGATTGCGCTGAAGTTACGGCTGGGAGACCAGACACTAGACAAGCGATTGTAGTACATGCTGTAAGTTAATCTTCTAGATAGGTATAGTGCAGCTTGCGAAAAGTGGCGAGTGTTCGTAACCAAGGAAGGCTGCCTTAGAATTACGGCGCAGGGAGTAATGGTGGTAGACGAGATGTAGCTGCTCGGAAGCGTTAGTGCGCCGTTTGTACTAAGAGGAGCCGGTGAGGATAAACTCAAGTACCGGGGACGTCTTGTGGGGTTATGTTGGTATATGGGTTGATAAAGGGTGTTGATATTAGGCCGAAAAGGGTTAAGACTTGGTTCTAGAATAATGGATACCAACTCTTATATTGTACGACTATAGCGATTAATACTTAGAGATTTACTAAATTACCTCTAGGAAACTAGCGACACTTATACATACTCTCTCCTAAGTAGGGGCCGCTCTACTCGTCACTTGCTCGTACGTAAGCCCGACGCACGCAACGTTAAAGCCTTACCTACGTAATGTAAAAGCAGTATAACTACGCAATGCCAAAGCTGTGCCGGGACCATGCGTGGCTATACCCGCAATAAAAGCAATTATACCTACCTCGCCATTTAGCAGGCGCCTCCCCGCTGGCTCCATACGATGTCTTAAATCGAGGACGTTCTTTGCAGACTGCAGGCGTTGAAATGATTAGAAGCAGGGATGATCGCTCGGATGAGTGTTGCAATTAATGGATGCCTGAAGTGTGAACCCATATACCTACACTTATGCAGAGTGTCTGCAAAGAGAATGATGGATTTAAGCCTGCTACGCGTGGTTGATGGCCGCTGGCTGAAGCTAGCTGTAGGGTGGGTTGCCGGAACGAACGGTATAGCCACATCTGGTTTGAATATACAGCAACTTCGCCAATTCTGTCCAATACTGACTGGTTTGGCTAATCTTCGGATATATACTGCCCTCCAGGCCGCTGTCTCAGCGTGCCAGAGGTTTTGTCCACGCTGCCCGCCTTATTATGGAGTGGCATGAAGTGTAAGCAAAGCAACTTGAGTGTCTTCGTGAGATACGAGTCCTTGATCGCCTCCTCGTATATTTCACATACTGCTCTCGCATATCTTTCCACGGCCGCGACATTCCAGCGGCGTCTAGCATACCGATAGCTAACACCAAGTGCTGCGGGGTAAGCTAGAAACCCCGTCAGCCTTAAGCATTCCAAACAGCAAGCATTTTCCTACTTGGATACTGTAGAGAAAGATTCACGCCTAATTAGTGAACTGGAAGATATAGCGAAGAAAGGGGCAAAGCTCGAGCGAGCGTGGTTTAAGGGCAGAAATACACGCCAGCGGATTGGTCTTGAGACCGTCGCCCTAGCTGGGGAGGTTCCCTTAGTCAGCCTTGAAATTGCACGTTGGAGAGCTTAGATTGGTTATCCTCTATAGATCAGTCGATTATCCTACGGAGTATTCTAATAGCCGCGTCAAAGCAGCAATGAGCCTGTTCTTTGCCATCGCTTCCGAGATTCTGCAATGAAAAGCCGCCGTAGCCCCTGTAGGTAGATCATAGGTCCCAGTGAAGTCTCTAAGAGGATTATTGCCCCGAAGTCGCAATTCCCGTGAGAAATTGTAGGAAATCCTCAGGCTCCGATATATCTATTAACTAGGTGACCTCGGCTGGCCCAATGCGCCGCGTAACACAAAGTCTCCCACGAACTGCTATTGAGTTGACTCAGAAGATGTCTAAGGGTGGTCTGGTGTAGGCAGGAAAATCGTACGATATCTGTGCCGACATTGCCTCTGGCGCAACTGGTATATCTATCCACTGCGAAGCGGTGTTCTTCGACCCAGCACCTGTCTCTCACATATTAGTATTGCCCTGCCCTTAAGGAGGGGTTGCATTCTTCCAATACCCCTACATACCTGGCCGATCGGCTTGCCCCGCGTCCAATTACGGTAATGTACCCTGCTGATCTAATCCTGCGCAAAGCCGCGGAAGAGTGTCTAACTGGGTTTTATTGTCTCCTGCCGAGTATATAATTCTAGGATAGGACGCGAATCTTTTGTCCTCCCTCTAAGCGGTATAACAGCTCACCAACACATATCTCCTATTCACTACCAGTCTGTTAGATCTAGCTATGCGTCTCACTATTGCCACAGCAGCTCTTCAATTGAGTCCTTTTGTTCTTTCCCACCCCTTCTCAGCCGGAGACATCACACCACGCGAACCGGCGTTACCTCTCGCGGCCAGTCCTGCCGGGTACGGGCACCTCTTGGAAAGCCGGGCCAAGGCTATACCAGGCGAGGCTGATTTACTCAGTGCCGTGTCCTGGGCGCCCAACCGACTTGACATTTTTGTGCGTGGCACCGACAATGCCCTCTGGCATCGCTGGTGGGACGGACATGCCTGGGGCGGCTGGGAGAGCCTGGGGGGTATTCTGACCTCGGAACCAGTTGCTGTTTCCTGGGCCTCGAACCGCATTGACATTTTTGGCCTCGGCACCGATAATGCCCTCTACCACAAGTGGTTGGCTGGTAGCAGCTGGGGTGGCTGGGAAAGCCTTGGGGGCACGGCGGCTTCTAACCCTTCGGTCGTTTCTTGGGGCGCTAACCGGCTCGATGTGTTTGTACGTGGCACCGATAATGCCCTCTGGCACAAGTGGTGGAACGGTAGCTCCTGGGACGGTTGGGAGAGCCTGGGTGGTATCTTGCTCAGAGACCTTTCGACCGTGTCGTGGGGCCCAAACCGGATCGACGTCTTTGGTGTTGGCACTGACAACGCCTGCTGGCACACGTGGTGGGACGGGCAGAGTTGGGCCAGTTGGGAGAGCCTAGGCGGCACGATTGTCTCGGCTGTCTCGGCTGTATCATGGGCTCCTTACCGCCTTGACCTATTTGCTCTCGGGACGGATAACGCGGTCTGGACCAAAACGTGGAACGGTGGAAGTTGGGCGGGTTGGTCGTCCCTGGGGGGGGTATCTATGTCAAAGCCTACGGCAGTTTCGTGGGCCGAGAACCGTCTCGACGTGTTCGTAGTCGGGACGGACAACGCCATGTGGCACAAGTGGTGGGACGGCAGAAGCTGGGGCGGCTGGGAGAGCCTTGGAGGCATCCTCACCTCACCAA